CCAAAAGACATGGCTTTGTTAGTTCCTGACAAGTCAGGATTTCTTAGTCTGCTGTGTGAGGTATACACACTGACAGGACATGAACACTCAGGAAGCCAAATCTCGTCATTTCAGTCTCATCACAGCTCTGGATTAGCTTCTCGAACATAGGAGATTTCACACATTCATACCTTTAGACATTCACACACTCCTACTGTCAAGCTGTGAATATAATGCACTGTAGCATAGTGTATGGCATAGAAGAAGTCATCACATGATCTCAGTCAGACAGTAGGTATTTCTTAAGTGAAATAATGGCACTAATGCACAACTTAGAACTTGATTGAACCTTAAATATAAATATAAAATGACTTATTGTAATCAAGCACCATGACTGTATTGTGTGACCTTCTCTCCTCCTTCCACTTCCCCCATATTGCTTTCTCATATCTGCTCATATCATTCACACACATCTGTACCTGATGTAATTATTTTTTAGGATGGATGGGTGGGTATTCAGATAGCACAGAAGATAGTGAATGACAAAATGACCAAAAGCCAAGGCTAAGATTGCAAGAAAAAAATAATATCATCTCCTCCCTTAGTTTATACAACAACTGCTGCTGCCTGAATCAATCTTAGTCCCCCTCTAGTCCATTTTACATGCTCCACAAGCTATGCATAGCCTCTGTATTGTCTTAACTGCTAAATCAGGGAGACAGAGAGATTCCCAGCATTTAAGAAATACTAAGTGCTCACAGTTTTCTTAAACTAGGTTAAAAAATACAATGACTGGTAAGCTCTACGCTCAGCTATTTTTCTTGCAGATGTCTAGCTTCCTGCCCTGCTGCACCTCCCTAACAAGGAGAGAGGAGTACTGTCTGTGGAGCTTATGTTCCAGACGGATGCCACCTGATTTCACTCATTATCCCTGCTCCTGAAATAGTCGGGCCTATTAAATCACTCTTAATCAAGACCATGGTTCATTAAATCAAGGGCACTTTAAAAAAGTCTGTGGGGAAAGGCTTCCAGGACCCCTTCATCATGGCTGAAGCTGACCATCACAACCACGGGAGAAGTCGTGATTAAAGCCTTGTAGTGTGACAGACACAGTGTGTGTGTGTGTTTGTGACCCCCCACAGTACTTAATTTTGCTTTTAACATTGATTGGAATATTTTAAATCATTAGGACATTACTTGGCATTTCATAAAACTCATCACCGGATTATGCTAATTTACTGCGTTTATTGTGTCAGTATCTACCCTGTCTGAAGACGTGCAGGCAGCCCTTGAGAAAACGTTTTTCACAAGTCTTGACTACAATGAGAAAAAAACAAAACCACAATAGGGCTGTACCACAAATGTACATATCACTAAAGCAGAACACAACGCAGGAAATGCAGAAAGAGAAAACTCATTATGCACAACTCAGCAATTTTTATATACTGAATCAGTGCCCTACTTACTTTTACAGACCTCTAAACCAATAATCTTCCACCTGACAAAAAAGTATTTGAACAACTCTGGAACTTAATGACAGGATGGTGTGAAAGACTGGGATCTTAAGAGACTTGATCTACTTCTAATCAACAATAGCATCCATCTTCATTCTTCCCTGGGGGGATTTGGAATATGGTAATTATGTAATAATGTTGTGCTTAATAGAGCAAATATCCAAAGGCCTTGTAGCATCACTTCCATTAATGCCAAGATGTCTTTTATACACAGTACAAGCACTCTGTAATTAGATTCACTGTAAACATGAATAACAAAGTAGGGAAACCACTACAGCAATTACACGCCAATCTATAATGTTGAAATGTTAGGAGTATGGATGGAACCAATCTCAAGGTCTGTCTTATGTACAACACCACAAAAATTATACTGACTAAAACAATGTTGCGTAGCTGTTTGTTTGATAAAGATGAGCAGCTGTGCTGACTCAGCTCATCTCACAACATCACCAGTCGCACCTTCACAGAGAGAGCAATGAGGCTGACACACACCTCTCTATTGCTTTTCTTCAATTGCATCAATCTTTTCCAACACGTGATACAGTGAGGTGATCCTTCCCCCACAAAAATGGAACAATATGCAGTTTGCACAAAATGGATGTTGATATTAATTTCATCCAAGTGTCTGTGATGTTTTAGAGACAAAAAAGCATGATTGGATCCTAGGATTGTACTTCTGCCAAGCAGCACTGGTCATGACAGAGCCCAATCAACCCCAGTCGGCCACAAGGACAGGAGCTGGCATCTTTAATGAAACCCAGCTCAGTCCAAGACATTTGATCCACCCAATATTGTATCATCATGTACAGACCACTGACATATATATATGATGGAGATAGCGTCACCATTTCCCTCCACTATGCAAAAAGGAAGCCAAAATATCATGAATATGGTGGCTACCATCTTGCTTTTTTGCAACCAGATTTGGCACAGTAGTGACTAGAAGTGGAGTGATAGCATTGGACCACCAATCAAAGTTGTCAAATCAACCAAAACACACTTATTTTTATATCATCAAATAACTTATTAAAACAAACTTAGCTGAGAAATGACTGCTTGTACAGTACACACATCAGTATGATCATATATACCAAAAACCACAGAAATGACCTCTGGGAAAAACGTATTTGATTTGTACTTTGTGTTTTTACTTTGGCTCATGTCCATCCATTAACAAGGAGGAGGTGGGATTTGTGACCTACTGTATGCTGCAACCAGCCACCAGGGGGCGATCGAGTCACAGTGGCTTCACTTCTTTTAGCTGTCAGCTTGTCCATCGTTTTTACAGTCGACAGTACAGACCCACAGCAATTATGTAAACAGCTTTTTCTGCTTAAGGAAACATTTTATCCTTCATAGATTACCAGCACCTATATGCATCAAGACACACTGAGTCACAGAAAAATGACAAGGTCAGCAAATAAGAAATACTGTGAAACGAGAGGTGAAGACAGGGTATCCTTATCTTGTTACCACACCCAGCTGCTTCCTGAGCTGTGACACTGACCAAGATGACAAATTTTGCAGGCTGACAATTGTGTAATAAAGACCTTACAAATGAATTTAGAGGAAGGAAATATGATAACTCTGATGAGCAGCTGACTGACACTGGCACCAGTGTTACTTCGATAGGTGTATACTGTATGAGCTTTCAGGCTCACAAATTTCAGTGATTTATGCCCCAAATTCAGAGGTCACACTGATGCTGCAAGTAAACATGTATCTTAAATAAAATGCATGCATGATATGAAACAATAGACTTTAGGGACTTTAGAAAATCTCTCCCCCTTCTTCTTTTGAAAGCATGCATCCTCTTCTAAAATCTTCTTTTTGTAAAATTCATCCCTTGCACAAACATCAAAAATTAAATGAAGTACACTATCAATTGTTTCTGAGAATATATTTTAACCTGAAAGAAGTCCATGTTCACCAATCACTGCCAGAAAAACTTTTACTAATTTGTCAGTGGTTGACACAATATAACAAACCCTGCCCATTCCACACACAAGCAGCACTGCACATCATCTTCAGTCTAACAAGGTGCTGGCTGTATTAGTCACACTTTCAGGTGACACTGATTTTATACGCACACAGTCACAAGCACACACACACTTCACTTCAAGGAGAAAGTGTTGTCCACATCAAGATAAATGCATCAGTTACGCAAGTGAGCGTCATGGCAAGAGATCCATTACCAGCAGATAGAGCATCTGCTTTGCATTCACTGGGCATTTGCTGCTAAATTAGCCCCATATAATGGCTGAGGAAGAGCAGTATCTTGTTACAGTTATGATCTACAACAAGGCACAGTGTAATGACTTGCATGCATGTGATGAGAAACATATAAAGTGTCAGATAACATCATGGGATGAAACACTGAAAACTGTGGCTGCTCTGCTTCATCTTTGATTCTACATCTCATAAGTACCACAACTAACTATAACAGTCTTTTACCTAACCCTCTACAAACAGACCTGGGTTTTTATCCAGGTGAGGACTTTCAACAGCATTTTCAACAAATACTGCTGCTTTAGAAATATATCATAAAATATTACATTCTGGTCCTTAATGCTCAGGACAGGAGTGGTCTTTTATTATGTAATCAACTGTCTGTGAGCTGAAGTATCTTTTTCAACCAGCAGAGAATATTATTAACTAGCAGAGGAGGGATTATTTTTTTGAAATATGACTTTTTTGTGTTCAATTGATCCCCATGTGATTACACCATACATCAAACATGCAGTGTAGGAAGCTATGTGGAGCGGTTATGTGCTGTATTTCTTCAGAATGAAAACAGCTGAGACATCATGTCATCCAGCTAGTGAGGTGCTTTGCACATCCTGCGCCTTCTAATCTCAAATTTTCCTGCCTGAGTTTGGTTTGTCTCTCCTCCTAGTGTAACATAAACTGTATCTTTAGTACTGTAGTCTGCTGTATAGAAAATTGACGTCAGGCATGTCGTCATGCGCGTATGCATGTTAAAAACGGAGTTTTTGCAGTGTCAGGGCTGCTGTGCTCAAACCGTAGCTACAGCTTTGTCGCCTGTTTACAGTTGCCATGCACCTGCACGTGCAGTAAGCGCGTTCCAGTAGCAGGTTTCTCACTGAAAGAAAACACTGTAAGATGTGCTGACTAGGAAGTACCGGATGTGAATTTGTAGTACCAAAGGTCACCCACTCCCGTCGGTTTACCCAAATTTAACCCAAAAGCCCATTCTGTGCTTTCAGGTAAATTTGAACCTCTACCTAACCCTCGTTTAGGTAAGAGGTCAAAATGAACACATCACAAACACCATGTGCGTGTCTGACAGTCTGATCGCAGCAGTCTGACATCTCTGTCCCCTTGGACTAACCGTGATCACCTCATCACCGTGTGTAAAATAATACCCTCGACATAAACTAGGCTACATGTAGAAGTGTTCCTTGTTCACAATAGCCCATTTGTTCCATCACAACTAACAGTTCGTTTTCATGCTAAATGAACAACAAGAGAAGGCTGCTGTCTTACCTGTAAATGCCCCTGGAACATATTGAGCACACAGTCAGTCGCGGATCTCTCCGTTAGTGGATCTTTAGATTTGTACCGGACTTGCAGCAGGTGATTGTCAGTCTGGAGGTGTCGACATCAGACGCTGTGCTGTAGCAAAGTTTTTGGCCCGGAGGCCCGCAGATGCTGACAAAGTGCTGCTGCACCTCTCCTCAGGTGCTGAGACATGCACTTGCTCATCCAGGATTTCTACGCGCGGTGCCACCGATGCGCGCCAGGCGCAACAAAAGTGCGACGTCGGACTTTTACCAGGTTCCTCTGACGCTGGAGCGTAACAGTTTTGGGTTATTTCAAAAGTACGTCTTGTAGTTCTTGTAGGGGAATAAACTCCACTTTTAGGACTTCATCCTGATCACACCGCTTTCTTCATATTTCTCCCTCTTTGTGTCTCTCAACTTGACGCTCTCTCCCTCCTCCTCTGTCGGTGATGGTTTAAATGTTTCGACGCTCCTCCAGTTTCATGCTCTTCTTATAGTGCGCTCCTCTCCCCTATTTGCCAAGTACTCCCTCTAAGCCAGCCCTCGGGTGCCTCCCCCAGTGCTGACGTCCTCCACCAGGAGGCACACAGGAGCAGCTCACTCACTTTAGAGCATGTTCAGAGAGGCAAAATTATTTAGTCATCAGTAATCATTAGTAAAAATAGTGAATAACTAGGGCCCAAAATGGATCATTGTAATCTATGAGACAAACAATTTCTAAATCAATTACATGACTTCTCATCAAATCCAATATGGCCAAGTTTTTGCAAAAAGAATTACAATCCACAGAATCAAAAGCTTTGGATAAAGCAATAAAAAGGGGCAGCACAGTCTAACTTTCTTTCCAAAGCCTGTGCAATATCATCAACAACCTCTGAGGCTGCTGCCACAGTGCTATGCTCTCCAGCCCTTAGGCATGAAAATCAGGATTATATGTTATTATTAGGCTCTGTGCTTCTGTGTATATTGTTCACCAGAAGTACACAAGCATAAATTTGGCAGGCTGTGTATCAATACATTTTCATTCTTTCACCTCACCCACATTTTATCAAAGAATAATGATAAAATCTGAAGTTCAAGGTGACATATGTATGTGCTGGCCTCTGATTCTATTTTTAGATTTCATTGAACTCTGTTTTCTTTCCCCTCAGCCATCAATCTCCTTATGGTGACAGATGGAGGGAGAACATAATTAACATTAAGACTGAGGGAATTACTTCTCCATACAAGAGACCAGACAGTTTTTGCTCTGTGACAGACAAATTATTTTAGTCAAATTTAAATGTTTTATCTGCCTCTGAATTATACCAGTTGACAAAAGGAAGAGCTGCTGAGTTTTCCTGAATGCTGAGCAGGAAATTGAGTGAAAACAAACATAACAAACATTGGTCATATAAGCATCAATTATATATTATGCTACACTGGCTCTGTTGTTGTAAATCAAGATTTTGAGGAGTGTTTGCCTGAGTGCTGGAGAATATTTTCGTTTCACTGGGTAAAAAGTCATCTATTGCATGAGGAATGCACAGAACCATCAAAGCAGCTGTAGTTTACTTAAACCACAACCACCTTCTGTTAATTTCAGCCTTCACTTCACTCAGTGGCATGGCCATGGTGGAAAATTATTGTTTTTCAGTGAATGTTTTGCTGAATGTTTCTGGCTTTGAAAACCTTTAATTATCTCCTCTCGAGGCATCGGAATTTCTAGCAGTTGTAATATTTATACACAGCATACTGTAACTCAGTCAAAACCATTAAAACACATTAGTTTGGAGCACTATTTACATAGATTCATACCAATTTTTCTCTTTTTTTAAAAGGCTTGAGCCACAGTGAAGATCTGTTGGGACCAGACTGAAATGTCTCAGCAAGCAGTAGATAGATTCCCATGAAAGTTTGTTCAGACATTGGTGACCCCATGATGCCACATAAATCAAATCAAATTTTATTTGTATAGCGCCAAATCACAACAAAAGTCATCTCAGGACACTTTACAAACTAAGGTCTAGACCTTACTGCTATCACTATTGTTACAGAGGGAAAACCCAACAAATGCCCCTTGAGCAAGCACTTGGCGACAGTGCAGAGGGAAAAACTCCCTTTAACAGAAGAAACCTCCGACAGACCCTGGCTCTTGGTGGGCGGCCTTCTGCCTCGACCGGTTGGGGTGAGTGGATAGAGGAGAGAGAAAAGAGGAAAAGCAACAAGACACAACAAACAATCAAACACTGGTCAGGTCGATGTGGCTGGTGATCAGAAACATAGAGCTCCAGGGCCAGGGCAACCTGCAGAAAAGTACAGGGAGAGAGAGAGGACACAAAGTTAGTGATGTGTAATGGTGGCATATAGAAGCATAGGGAGAGAGGAGAGGAGAGGAGA